CTTTGTTTCCATTGACGGTAATTAATAGCATTAGAGGATTAGGTAGGAAAATATACGATACATAATTTATGAAATTGTAATCAACAATGATCATATAAACCAAGCACAAGACTGGAATTATAAAACTTCATTACCTGTAAGTCAAGTACATATACAATATCTTTATTGAATTTGCTGCTGTTATGCTGAGAAATCAAAGCTAAACCCAACGTTGTCTTTCCATGCTTTTTCTAATGTTTAAGATGCAAAGTCCTGATTACTGTATATAGAATTATTGCTTTTATTAAATTTAATTTCTAGTGATGAAAAGAAAAAAAATGCAAAGGATGAATTACGTATAAAAGCATAAGAATGTCAACATGGTAATGCTGTTGTCATTCAAATATGGTGGAAATGATGCACAATTGAAGTCAAAAGATGAGAAGATTAAACATGAATGTTAAAAAGTAATCTGCACAGTAACAAAAGCTGACATTTGGAGCATAAAGTTCATGACAAAGTATTAAGGTACATTCCTACACAATAAATTAAGCTATTGTATTGAGTAAAAAATAAAATCAGAGATGCTATGGTTAAAAAGAATTTGCAAGACTACCAATGATTTGTATTTTGCAAAATATCCTAAATTTAATACCATATTTGGTATGCAAAGAGGATTAAACAGATAAAAAAAAGTATTGTGCCTCCGTGCACACATGGAGGTATCTCCTTCCTGGATGGAAACACCATTGTATCTTCATCCTGGAGGCATGGAGAAAAGCCTTCATCCATTGGATGGAGACATAATGGACAAATGTCTGGATGGAGACAATTCTTTATGTCTCCATGGAAGGATGGAGCATGGAGAAATGCTTGGATGGAGGCATGGAAAAATGGATGGAGGCATAGAGAAATGCCTCCATGCACTTCTACGCCTCCTCTACTTGGATGGAGGCACGAAGGAATGCACTTGGATGGAGGCATTTTTCCATTCCTCCGTTCACTTGAATGAAGGCATTGAATGAAGGCATGGAGGAGGTATGAGTGGACGGAGGCACAGTTACTTGGATGAAGGCATTTGGATGGAGGCATTGCTCTATGTTTCTATCAACTTTGATGGAAGCATGGAGGAGGCATAAGTGGACGGAGGTATTTTTCCATGTCTTCGTCCACTCAGCATACCTTCATCCAAGTGCACGGAGGTATTTTTTCATGCCTCCGTTCATTGGATGGAGATATTTCTTCTATTATGTTTCCATCCAGCACAGAGAAGAAAGAATACACATAGATTTAAGTTCTAAATAAATACATAATAACAAATAGATTACCAAGGCCATGGAGGAGGTATGAGTGGACGGAGGCATAACTACTTGGATGGAGGCATTTGAACGGAGGCATTTCTCTATGTTTGTGACAACTTTGATGGAGGCATGGAGGAAGCATAAATGGACGGAGGTATTTCTCCATGCCTCTGTCCACTCAGCATGCAGGAAAATTGATTTTATTATCTAAACAAGAACTTGTGGACAAATTTCTCCATGTAGACAAAGGAATGCCTCCGTCCACTTTGGAGGCATGGAGAAATTCCTCCGTTCACTTGGATGGAGGCAAGGAGGCATGAGTGGATGGAGGCATATCTCTATGCCTCCGCCCTTGCCCTTTCTTCTTCCTTACTCTTACTCCTATACCGCTGTGGTTCCATCCTGGATAGAGACATGGATATCCCTCCATCCAGGTGGACCGATCAAGGATTACAAGAAACAAGCATTATATATTAACAAGTGTAGCCACTATTTCAGTCTAACAATTCTTAAAATGTTTATATAAATTTTAGATTCTATATCAGGGATTTTAATTCGAAAGAACACTTTATCGATTCCATTAGAGATTAAAAAGTTAGGTGTTTTACAACCATGGGAAATGGCGATAGCTTCCTGATTGTAATTTGCCTCTTTTAATACATAAAACAATTTAAAACTATATAAATTTAACAACATTTTAAAGTGGAAGGCACAGTAAAAAAAATAGAAAATATATTTTACAAAGTAAAAATAAATACTCATAAATTTATTTGCCACCCCCGTCTCAGTTAGATCCTTACCTTGTACTACAAAGTTATGTACTGTAACATCACATAAAAATTATCAGTTTAATAATAGAAATGTTTATATATTAATAGCAAAGTATTTATGAGAGAATGAAGGTAATTTTATCAAACGGTGTTGTGTTGGTTGACGAAAAATCGAACCCAAAAACTGGCTCTTTTATATGTAGTAGAAGAAAAGGAAATTACGAAGCAAAATGCAGTTCTAGTGGAGTAATAAGTTGATGAAAGAAATGCAACAAAACCATAAATTGGAGTCTTTTATTTATTTCTTGTTAATGAATTTGACTAATAATACTAAATGAATAATAAATTCATTAGCTATTTTTTCAGAATTCAGTGTAACTATCATTATTTGGTAAATTTAGGACATCTTAATGGTCTCCAGGTTGGTACTCTTTTTTACTTAATAGAGGTACTGATNTGGTATTTGAAGATAGCTTCTTTAAATCCAAAAAATTCAAATCACTTCATTGGAACTTCTAGATAAATTTGAGATCCCCCATACACTCAGTCTAGCAACAATTTTAACTAAATAGCATATCCGCCCAATTTTCTATACAATTTTAGCTAATTGATAATATGAATGTAGTTAAGCAAAAATAATTACAGAATGAGCAAAATATTTATGGAATACTTACAGTCATCCATCTGCAATGTAATGCTCACATCACATACAGTATTCTTTTTCAGTTGCACAGAATTTTTTGCATAGCAGATTATCTTTGAATGAGAGGCATATCTGTAATGTATTTAAAAACTATATATTATCGGATCACTTGTGAAAAAGAAAAGAAAAATGATATAGGTCAAATCTAGGAAGAAGTATTTCACAGAGATTATGCAAACGACAATAGACATTTCAAAATTGCAAAGAAGAGTGGAAAAAAATTAGCTACACGTGACTTATTAAAAAATTTAACCAAAACTCAAGTCTTAGGAACTTTCCGTGGAGCATCTACCTGATGAGATTAAAAAATTCCATGTCTATCGTTTCAGACTTGAATAATGCAATGAAGAGGCAGCAGAGAATTAGCTACACGTGTGACGCCTTTAAAAATTGAGCAAAAATTCAACTCTGATAATACAGATGCTGTTTTTTTATTAATAGGCTGCAAAAAGCAAGGGAAGAAAATGAAAAAGGAGAAAGTAAGTGAGCATCAAGAGACAAAGATCATGTAATAGAAGACTAATGTGTACATAAGCGAGCAATTTTCGCCTTTTTCTTCTTTATTATGGACAAGGTTTGATAAGAAACATCCAGACTGAGAGCGATTACAAAGAAAAAACTTACAATTGTTTGAACAATCATCTTTCCACTAAACATAGTTGCAAAAACAAAAGTAAACGAATGAAGCTTGTATCTTTTGGATATTAGTGTGATTTATTTCCAGTCAAGGAAAAAAACTTCAAAAAATAATAGCAATAGTGAAAGAGGGATTTATCTGCAATTAAATTTAACCAAAAATGCAATAGTTTTACCTCGATAGGGAAATAAGTTGGACACTTAGGCTTTCCAATATTGATACAATGAAAATCGGCAGGATATGGCAAATCAATGTTACAGCTATTAACAAAGTAGTCATAGACAGTTACTTCTTGAAATTCACGAGCATCATTGTTCTTGTTTTTTTATTCCAATCAGAACCTAAAAGAATTGATAAAAGGAACAGCTTGCGAAAGAATGGAAACCAGAAGAGTGAAAAAAATAATTAATAAGATAACCTGATAAAAGGAACAACTTTAAATTTGTGCCATAAAATGGAAACCAAAATAGTAAAAAAAATAATTAATAAGATCAAATAAAACAAAGAAACCATACAATTGCTCTTTGTAGGGCATGTCACTTAATCCAGTAATTTTGTACCCTGTGTTTGACAAACATACAAGATCGCTTCTCTATTGTACACAGAAAATCACCTACTATAACTACACTTCATCATTAGTGTCCAGCAATAACTCTAATCAGCACCTGCATGTGAGATGTAGAATTTGATCTGTTTCATTTTATTCGAAATCTCATTCTATTGTGAACTACAGTCTTTTCATGCCTAAATCTATTCTCATACTATGAATACCACCTAAACATGCACGTTTATTCACAAGTTTCCAAGTCATGACTATTTGCATAGAATAGAGAGTTGGAATCAAAGCACCACACTATCAACTTTTGACTTTACATTTTTCTTTTCCTCTTTCCAATTCTAACCGAAATCCACAAAGTGAAACATAGGATATTTCTTCAAATATATAACAGTAAAAAAGATAAGACTCACAAGACACAATCATGATCATTATATACGAAAGCAAATTCATCATATCATTTTTTATGAATCATGTAAAATGTCTAAGAAAATAAAATTTGGAAAGAATATAAGGAAATTATTAGAAAGTAGCAATTATGTAAACAAAACTTTCCTTCAACAACATGAACACAAAATTTCACCTAACAAAAAATTAACTTCAATTAAGGATTTATGATGCTTATAACAGAAACTTAACCTAAGAGTAAAAGAACTTCAGAGCATCAAAGCAAGATGCACAGAAACAATAGTGTCCTTTTATATAGTGAGAAATAAAGTGCACGTACAATGGCACAAGAAGTTCTACCACAAATTTCTAAAAACACATATAATTAACAGTCTTTTGAAAATATCTATGAAGATGTTATCAAAGCAAGTATTTCTTGGTAAACAATATTTTTTGTACATGTATTATGTATAATAGACTTGTCTGATGGTTTTATCAAAACTTTGATAGTTGTACTTGTTTTCGCTCTAGACAAAGCAACATATAATTGTCCATGAGAAAACACGTATTCTGGAAGATAAAGCCCAACAAAATCCAAAGTTTGACCTTGTGATTTATTTATCGTCATTGCAAAACATGGACGAATGGGAAATTGAGTCCTTTTAAAAGGAATTGAAGTTTTATCACTTTCAAGTGGTATAAATGGAATTCTGGGCAAAAATACTCGCTTTCCACGGTATTCTCCAATAGCAATTTCTGCATCAATCACATTTTTCTCAAATCTTCGACAAATAAGTCTTGTTCCATTGCATAGACCTTCAGGTGCGTTAATATTTCGAAGTAACATAACGGGACAATTTTGTTTTAATGTAAGTTCATGTGGTGGAATACCATTTGGAGTTAATGTGTTTAAAAAATCTTCTTGGATACTTTGTTCAGATTTGTCAATGGATTCATCAAAACTATAATACGTAAATATTTTTCCAGGAATTTCTTGAAGTAAAATATTATTTATTTGATCGACACATTCATTTTTTGGTGTTAAAATAACTCTATTAATCATAGTATCTAGATTTTCTATATAATTTTTGATATTTGGAAAAACAATATTAATCAAATTTTTTAAAGATTGAGATTCGTCTTCAAATTCTATAGTTATTTCAGGTGGAAGTGTAATCATCCTACATGAATGTTCTTTCTCTGTACCATTTCCGATACGAAGTAAATAATTACAAAATAATGGATCTAATTCAGCTCTCATATTTTGTATTAATGGTAAACGGGTAAAAGAAGGCCATAAATATGAAAAAACTAAACTTGCTTTTATTATATCTTCTCTTGTCCCTCTCTGCACAATTGGTAAAACTTGTCGAAAATCACCCCCTAATACAATAACTTTTCCACCAAATGGTATATTTACNTCATCCCAAATTATTAATTTAGTAATTCTAAAAAGATCTGCTAATGCAGATTGCTTACTTATTGAACAAAAAGTATTTTCATTTATATCTAAAGGAATTTTAAATCTAGAATGTGCAGTTCTACCACCTGGTAATAAGGAAGCAGCAACTCCTGAAGAAGCTGTAGCTATAGCAATAAGATTTTTTGATCGTACAGCTACTAATAAAGCTTTATATAAATATGTTTTACCTGTTCCACCAGGTCCATCGACGAAAAACATGCCATTGTCATCATTGAAAATTCGCGATAAAATTATATTATAAGCATATAGTTGTTCTTTGTTTAAACAATTTGTATCAAAGTTGTTAGTTTGATTACTACTAACTTTCAACTCTTCAGAAATCATGCTAGCTAATCTTTCGTCTTCTCCTATGCTTATATTGAATGGTACTAATTGGTAATCATTTATATTTTTGTTCAATATTTCTAACATGGAATGTATACATTGTAATGATTTTATTTGAGCATTATTAAATGACATACCTTGTTGTATGAAATCTTCAAACATATAACCTTTAAACTTATTCCACAACAATTGTGGATTGTTAGGATTACAAAACGTTAATATAGTAGCAAATAATCTACGGAGTGAAGAAGGCATTTGATAAACAATTGCTTCTTCTAAACATAGCTCACAATTATTATCTGCACTTAATAAACCATGTAAAAGAGCTGCTTCACGAAAGCTAGCCGTCAATGTATTATTTACAATTCGTAACTGTTCAAAAGAAGTGGATCCTTTAATGTGGTTTAACAAAAGACGTAAATAATATCTTTCACCTTCGGATGGGTTAGCTGTAACTATTCTACCAATTACGTTTTTTTGCTTTCGAGGAGTCCATATTCGTCCGTTTCCATTCCATACAAAATAAAAAGGGAAATCTTTATACGTAAGTGTTCTAGCTTTTTCATTTGTAATATTAGTACGGAAGAATTCAGTTAGTGTTGTTTTGTGTTTATAATCTGTACTTATAACTGATTGTAAATTATCGCTATCTTTATAAGTAATTAGTTGATGGTCTTCAAGGTGTAATTGTAGTGGAACAACTGATGGAGACATTTCAGATAACACATATCCATAAATTCTCCACATTGCTTCGGGTGGAGAAATCCACCTAGCAGTTTGGTATATTGAAATTTCATCAATATCAATATTAGTATCCTTTTTATTGTCACCTATAGAAAAACTTATTCGATCATGCCCTTTATAAACGTATTTATACAAATATTTTACAGCTTTAACTGTTGAACATACTTCAACATTAATATGACAATCATATTTAGCTATTAAATAAGGATTATAAGGTACAATCCATCTATTAACTAAGAAATGTCCCCTCACTTTTACTTTTTGATTATCATCACACCGTTATTATCTAAAAAATGTCCCCTAACTTTAACTTTTTCACCATTATTACGACGTTTATATCGAGGATATGAATCGTTGCCAAGTGAAGTTGTCATCACATATTCTTTTGGATATTTATTTTTGCATATTTTGTAATTTGACATACATACATTAGTCGGATTTAATATTCCACAAGGACCATGAAACATATGTTTTACAACAGTAGAGTATAAATGAGAGTAACAATTTTTGTTTGGAATTTCACAACAAACAATTTTATCAACAAGTAATTTTTGATCCATATTTAAAAATTAACAAAAAATGAGCATGTGGAAGACCTCTTTTTTGAAATTCAACAACATATATATATGCAGCAACAAGGCCTAAAATATGTCTTTTGAACAAGTCAGTTTTTAATTCTTCTAACTTAGCTCTAAATATTCGTGACAACAAATCAGGCCTATTTTGATTTTCATCATTGTGTTTTAGTTCTTGTTGTATTTCTGGCCAATTAGGATTGCAAGTCATTGTTAAAAATACATTAGGTTTACCATATTGTTGAACCAATGCCATCGCATCCATATACCGTTTTTTATTATCTTTAGGACCACCTGTGAATGAAGATGGTAAAATAATTTTTCGGCCAATTTTATAACCTCTACTTTCACCTATATCAACACTATCAACAATTCCTTGATAAACTTCTGCTCGTATTTGTTTTTGGTTGTTACGAAAGTAATCCAATCTACTGGTTTCAATTTTTACATACATATCAACAACATATTGTTGAAATAATCTACCAGCGTGAAGCAAAATACATGTACCTGAATTTCGAATCTGTAATTTATAACAGTAATACTCACGACAAGATACATGTGATCTCTTCTTTATTTTCTTCATAACTGCAGGAACGAAAAAAAAATGAATGATAATATAATAGGGAAAATACAAATTCACAGAAAACCAATTTCCAAATTGTTAACCTTCATTTTCTTTTTCAATCAACTCATTTGCAGAATTTATGGTATTGATATTTAAAAGGTTATTATGGGTAGGAAAATGCAAAATTTCTTTATTAATTCTTTCAATACCCTCGTGCCATCCAGCTTCACCAAAAGGAAACAGTAATGGGTATTGGAGAGGATCATAACAACCAAAATAATAATGAACTCTGTATGAATCACCAGAATGACCATAAATTGATATATCACGAATTCTGTTGTTTGTAGATGTATCATCATCAACCCAAACTGCAGCTACTTGTGAAGCCGTTGGAGTGTTGTACACTCTTTGATCTAGACCTGGATCACATCTTATTTGTATTCGACATGTATATAAATTATTAATATTGGTTAATGAATGGAAGAATCTACAGTAAGGATTGATTGCTAGGATATCAATTAATATCTGTAAAGTTGATTCACAGAATTTGTCTGAAATTTTTAATCGATTTGATACTTCATTTTCAGTATCGTAGAAGTATAATTGTAAATAAGTTAGGTTATTGTTTGAGGGTAACAATTGGTTTATATAATGATAAACTTGCCCTTGAATTCTAAATGTATAAATTCCTTTATACCTCTTAGACAAATCTTTATCGTATTTCACACCAAAAGATGTAAATGCAAAATGGTTGTTATAACTTCTTGCAATTTTCTTAAAATTTAATGATTCGGCTGAATTTGAAGTAAATAAATGATGTAATTTATCAGGTACGCTATGTATATGTAATTTAACTTTGCCATCTGAACAACAAAATCCTTTACTCTCTCCATGGAATTTTTTTGCATCACAATTTAAACAAAATGTTGGATCTACGAGAACATGGGATTTAGTTGGGATGTTCTGTAAACTTAAGTTTGTAGTTTGCTCATTACTTTCTAGAATTTCATCATCACATCGAAATCTATCCTCTTCACATGTATACTGAATATTGCCATCTGGTGTATCAATTGTGGTTGCGGAAGATATACTATAACTACAACCAGCAACTACAATAAAATAAATTGGCATTTAGATACAAATATTATTAATTTGTAAGGGATGGTAAATACAAATTTCATTCTATTAAATATACAGATAAGTAAAAGCCAACAACTTCTAAACTCACCTGTTGTTTCAGATTCAAAACAATTTTGATGGAAAAAATTATCTGTGTAATCTTCAACTTCAATCCCAACACGTCCAATTTGCTTTACATGCTCTACAGGTGAAGATTGTCGTAAACAAATAGTAAAAAAATTGTATCATGTATGCGAAAAAAAAAATGTCTGGACAAATTTTTATTATTGTCAGAACATGTATGAAATTAATTCACAGAAAACTACAAACTAAATTTTGCAGATGAATGGGGTGTAGTAGAAATTAAACCACAGGTTGAGAAAAAAAATAAACAAAAAGTATTTATATCAATTAAGATATACAAATATTTCTTTTTTTTTTCCTCAGAGAAGACTAAGTTAAATCGCTACAAATACCTTCTTGTACCACCATTAGATCATCAACTTTCAGCTGTTCTCTATCACGCAACTGTTTTGATGCTTGAGCGTACAATTGTCGTCGTCGTGAATTTCGAGCATCTTTTGTTTTAGCATAAATTTCTCTGCGACGCTTTTTTAGCAGTTCACAACTTTCATCACCACTATCAGCGGCATCCATAAGATAAATAACTAAACGCAGTAAAATATAATATAGAGTTAAGAATAAACGAACTACGTTAAAACCTAAGGAAGAAGATTATTCACGAGATTTGTTACATGTAATTATAACAAGCACGCGTACATAGTTTCTCCAATTCTTTAATTCATAATTTCATGAATGAACAAAAGTTTACTGCCTAAAATGGATAGATGCCTACTCTGTTTAGCTGTGTTTTTTTTTATTCTAGGACATAAGGAATTGTAAATGAACATTGAATTATCCAAAGAAAATAGTTTTATTTTGTATATTTTAATAGGTATAATATGGTCTGGGTTTGTAAAATTTCTAGATAATAAAGGAAAGAAATTTAATCAATAAAAAAAACTAAATTTAACAAAAGCACAGTAAAACACCCAGTACAAAACTTTAACTTAAACCCAAAACTAAAATACAAATTCATACCTGATAATTATTCTGGAAAAATTCAGGAAAAATTTGGTCTTGTAAAATTTCTAGATGATAAAGGAAAGAAATTTAATCAATACAAAAACTAAATTTAACAAAAGCACGGTAAAACACCCAGTACAAAACATTAACTTAAACCCAAAACACAATACAAATTCATACCTGATAATTACTCTGGAAAAATTCAGGAAAAATTTAGTCTCTGGAAAAATTCAAGAAGAATTTAGTTTCAAATCTGATTATCTCTGGAAAAAAAAAAGAATTTGCAAATGGGCAGAGAAAAAATAACAGCTACCTGGAATAAAGTGGGTGTCCAAAATAAATCGGCAAAACAAGATTGAAATAAGTTGGACCTTAAGTTTAGTAGGATATATGGTATTTTTATTTCTTAACAGTTGAGGCAACAATATGAATTATTGCAGAGGATCGGGAATTGGCGTGAAGAAGCTTCGGCAATCGGCGTGGTGAAAGTGAGAAAAGAAGAAAGAAAACCCGGAGCGGAAGTTGGAGGGTTAGCAACGATGTGAATTTGTTGCAGAGGATCGAGAATCGGCGTGAAGAAGCTCCGGCAATCAGTGCAGAAAGTGAGAAAAGAAGAAGCAAAACCACGGAGAGTGGGAGGTAATAGCCGGGAATGAGAGAATGAAACAATTAGGGCAATTTTATCCTCCTCCAAACGACGTCGTGTTGGTTGACGAAAAAGTGCACAGTGCCAGGAAACTGCCTCTTTTATGTGTAGTAGGATATATATAGACACTGTGTGTGTGTATATATATTTACTAGACAAATGTGATCAACATATGTTAAAATCAAATGCTACCTATCAAGTATAACCCAGGTTGCATTAGAAGTCTTGACTTCTTTAGCGACAACCTTCTTCATTGGACCTCCAGCAGTAATCTTGGCCTCAATGTCAACCTAAATAAGATATTATTATGGCTTAGTATTGAAAAGTAGAAAACCATATTGCATTCTTTAAAAGAAATCATGATACTCATACAAGTACTCTCCAAGACGTACTGCAGATGTGGCTAAGCTGTTTCTTACAAATAAGTGAGAAAAGAGAAAAGTATCCTCCCAAACCGTGAAAAGGTTTCATCATCGGCATAGAGTTTTTTAACCCATGTACCATCAAAAGTAGAATTTTTAAGCAATATAAGTGTACATTACCATATCAGCTTCACATTCTACAGCACAATGATGGATCATGTTCACATAAGAATCAATCTTTCTCGAGAATTCTTCTTCCATTGCACGGACATGTGTTCCAAATAAAGGGCCTTGACCTATTTTCATTTGATTACCCATTGTACAGAAATACGAGTTAACAAAATTAAACACATAATAAAGTAAGAAAACTCTAAAACAGATAACAGTAACTGAAAAAAATGCAACAAACAAACAGAGAATTCTTCTTATTCCTAATAATGCATGATTTCAGCGTAAATATGTCTTTTGCCGTATATTATCTTGATGGTTATTTATAACTTTTGAGGTCTAAAAAGAAATTAATAGAGCAAAAGAGTTCGACTAAGTGTAATCTAAAGGAAGAATTGACCATAATAGCAAGAAATTACATATTATTAAGAAGCTACTTGTGTAAGTTCATTTGGACACCAATAGTAGTCATGTTTGAGCTTAGGTTAAAGTTGCTCAATCTTGGTATTATAAATCCGCCTGAAGATTCTCATCTTTGTTCATTTATTATTCAAGATACAATAGTACGAACTTTTGAATGAACTGTGCGCGAACTAAGGTCAAAGTATTACGTTAAAGTTGAAGTTTTTCAATGCTATCTCATCGTAGGTACCAAACATACAATAAATTGTTAGAACAGGGTATTGGCCAAATATCTATTTGTATGCACTAAATAAAAACCATATATATGGGGAGCTTTCCCCCTAAGAATACTTTTGAGAAATAGTTTTGACAAAAAATATGGACCTTAATTTAAGTTAATCTAATGATATAGATGATTTAATTAAAATCCTTTGAAATTTAAAAATGGAAAACCCCACAACCAGGGGCGGAGCCAGGAATTCATGTCAAGAGGGGCACGACTTATCGATGTTGAACGTCGAGTTTTTGTCATGATTGTAATAATTATAATAATATAAAACAATAATACGACAATATTAAAAATGACATAGTTTATAAATTACACTTGTTGCTTTCGAGTTTTCATACTTTGATATCGTTGTACAATAACTTCATTATCGAGCTTCAAAAATATATCTTTCTCTACATAAACAATTGTGCTATCATTCATCCACTGATCACCCATTCGATTACGCAATCTATCCTTTACAATGCTCGTTGCAGAAAATACTCTCTCCACAGTAGCAGTAGCAA